CCACAATGAGCTGGATCCTCCCCATCAATCACTAATTAAGAAAACCCCCTCATTTGAGGTTCCCCTTCTTTCAAATAACTCTAGCTTGTTTGGTCAAGTTGACCTAAAACTAGTGTTCACACTCAGGGCTTTCTAAAATATTTAATATCTAATAAAGTCAACTCTTTCTCAAGTTGCAAAGCAGATAGTAATTTATGTAGGAACCTCAGGGGACATAGAAAAGAACCAGAGAAGGATCAAGGCAACCCCAGAACCAACAGAGGCAGCTCTGGCTCTCACACTGGCGGGGTTGAGGCTATAAGAAGCAATGTGAGGGCCTCTGCAGCTGAAGGCAGCCACCGGGGCAGAGCAAGAGATGGTCAGGGACACCTCTGACCTGTTTACCACCTTTCACAAAACCTTCTTCTTCCTGACGGGGTAAGAAGGCCTCTCACCTCTCACCATTCCTTAGACTGCTTGGCTCAGATCCCCTTCCATCTGTCTGCCATCTATAGAGTGCCTTGTCCCTAAAGAAGAGGCCACTTTTGCAGTGTAAGGCTTCCCCTGCTTTCTCCTCTCTTCTGAAGGCTCAAGCACACCATTGCTTCCAGAGTTCCCAATGGATAGCTGGCCTGCAGTCACTCAGAACAGGACCTACTCACTCTCGAGGTACACACTGGGGTCCTTTGCTGAGTCTGGGGAGCAGGCCAAGAGCCCGTGAGTAGGCTCAGGGTGAGCCTGTGACCAGATAGAAGGGAAGCTAGTGTCCATGCCAGCAGCACTGTCCTCCCCTTCCTCAGCATTGGCTGGCCCTTGCTGCCATGTTCACTGTCTGGCTAGGGTCTGGCTAGGCCTTGGTCGGCCTTCATCTTTTATAAGACCTTCTCTTGGTCTTGCTGATGTCAACTTTGGACTTGCTCTTGGCCTTGATTTTAGCATTGAATTGAGCCTCGGCTACGTACCTTGTCCTACAGGTATAGTATAAAGTATACGTGGAAGTTTCATTTCAATCCTGACGTATCTAAGTCTCAGAGTAAGTACCAACAACTTACTTGGCTAGCTGAAAGAGAGCCACATGGTAGACCATTAGTAAAAGTGGAAGTTCTGGAAGCTGCTGTAATTGATTCCAGAATTGATGAGTGTCAAGGTTGCTGGGACACCCGGGCAGAGGAGCCTTACAAGCATCCATGACAGAGTTCTTTTGCAGATATCCCACTCTGCCACAGAGGGAATCGGCACATCTAGAGCCTGTGGTAGAGTCAGAACCAGAGGGAGCTTGGGCTGTGCTTGCCCCACCATTTATTATTTGGGTACCGTTAAGAAAAGAGCATCCACTTCCCAGCAGCCACCAGCACACTTCAAAACTGAAGGTAGGCCTTTGCTACCGCTTTACAGGCTTGGGACAAATAGTCAATGAGTACAGGCATGCCACGCACCTTACGGTGCTCAGAATGCAACAGACACTTCACCCACCAAATAAGATCTACCTTCCTAGGCTTAATAGAGCAAATCAGGGTCCACAACTTCCATACCTTCTCTGCCAGGAGCTGCCATCCCAGGCCCCTCACTTCCTACTCCCACTCTCTCTAGCAATTTCAACTGTGTGAGGCCATTCCGCAGCCTCCAGGAGAACAGCCGCAGGGAGGCTCACTTCTACCTCCTGAGAAGGACCCTACAGCATCTTACAGCCTTAGGGAGTGCCCAACCCAGAAGAGAAGAGTGACAGAGCCAGCACTGTGGTCTTGCTATGCTTGAGGCCGGCACACAGATGTAGCCAAAGGCTGTCCTGGAAGATGAGACATTGCCTCTGAGTACTGCAAGATGAGTAGGAGTGGCCACCATCTCCAGGAGAGCCTGACGACATAGGACATAGCTTGGAGGCTCTCTAAGCAGCAAAGAAGTAGCTGGAGCAAAGCCCCATGTGAGCTAGACCTGGGACCTCGAGCACTGAACTGAGCATTCCAGCAAGGCCAGCCCAAGATAGACATTCCACAAATATCCATCTAACAACTGGATGAGTTTTCTATAAATATGCATCCATTAAATACATGAATACAAACCCCATTTTAAAAAAAGAATGGAAATCCAGAGATATATTTATAATTTCATCCTTAGAGAAGCTAAATCAAGAGGGTCACAGGTTTATCTCAGTTACATAAAAAGAATCTTTTTTTTTTTTTTTTAGAAAATCAAGTGTCAAAAAAAAAAAAAAGAAAAAGAAAATCAAGTGCCTACAAACTGCATATTGTGTCCTTCATGATAACCCAGATCATGTTTTTGTCTTCTGTTCCAGGCAGTTTTAGCACAAATACTTTTTCCTTGTGTGCACATTTGTTACTCTTTTTTTTATTATTTATTTTTAGAGACAGGGTTTCTCTGTATATCCCTGGCTGTCCTGGACTCACTTTGAAGACCAGGCTGGCCTCAAACTCATAGAGATCCTTCTGCCTCTGCCTCTTAGAATGCTGGGATCCTTCTGTACATATTTTTTTCTAGATTTGTTTTGTTTGTTTGCTTGTCTGTTTGTTTCAGACAGGGTCGCACATAGCTCGGGCTGGCCTTGAACCCCCTAAGTTGCCACAGATAACCTTGAACGCCTCATCTTCCTGCCTCTGTATCTCAAAGTGCTGGGATTATAGGCATGCAACATCACACCATTCCATGGGGTTCTGGAGACTGGACCTATGGCTTTATGCATGCTTCCCATTGAGCCACAGGCCCAGCTCCTTGTCCACATTTTAAAAGACTTATTTATTTATGTTACGTGTGTGGATGTTTTCCCTGAGTGCATGTGTGTGTGCCCATGTGTGCCTGGTGCCTTTGCAGGCCAGAAGAGAGTGCCAGATACCCTGGAACTGGAATTAGAGGGATTGTGAGCTGGCGTGTGGATGGTTGAAATTAAACGCAGACTCCCTGAAAGAGCAGCCAGTGAGCTTAACCGCTGAGCCATCTCTCCAGCCCCCCTTGACCACATTCACAGAAGCTTTTCTTCCATGGCATCAAAACCTCTCAGCATCGCTGTAACAGCTGCGAACAGTTTAGTTTGTAGGAAAGACTGCATGGCTTAGCAATGCCTCTCCTCTCTCCAACGCCAGATCTATTTCTCAGAAGGGGAAACGAAACCAAGCCTCCTCCTGACTGGTTCCAAAAAATACCATCTCAGTTGCTCGATTGCTCGCTCTTTGGCCATTTGTCATCCATCCCCACCCTGCTTTCTAAACAGATACTGGGTTTGGATTTGACTATTTCTACTTGCCCGCACTGGCCCTGGCTATTTTTGTTTTAAGAAAAGTATTTTCCCCGAAGATTTTGCCCAATGAGGCAACACGTGCCTAGCACTCATGCCACCCCGTGTTTGAATCCTACCCCCTCAAAAAAAAAAAAAAAAGTACTTGTCACCCAGGAGGATGAGATTTAAACTCTCTACTTAACCTTCATGTTTTCAGGCACTACATTGCTAAACTATACAAATCCCTTAACTCTCACGTATTGTGGTGTTTGCCGAATCTCTCAGTTTTCAACAGACCCTCTTTCTAGGAGAGGACCTGCAGTGTTCTCTGAATTAAGGTAAGTACGAGTCCATCAGGACCTGACCTCTATTTTTAAGAAAGCTTTGGTTTCAGCTCCTCAGAGCTCTTCAGACCGACCCACCTCACCCCCACCCAAGCTCTAATTCCGATCTTGGGTTTGGGTTCAGTGGGAAAGGTACAAAGTCAAGGACAACTGGGAAAGATCAGAGAGAAGGATATGGCAGGGAGATAAGACAAGAACACTGGGCAGTCGGAAGAAGGGAACAAGGACAGGAAGGGACATGAGGAAAGCCTCTACAGATGAGGTATCTGAAACAGGGCCTAAGATGACAGGGATCCTTGGCCCAGAGCCCTGCCACTCCCACTTCTTTTGCCCCTGTAGAGCATGTGATATGAATGTGTGCGTGTGTGAGCAAGCCCATGTTCCTTCTCCACCTTCAGAAAAAAAATATGGCTGTGGGCCTAGCTTACCCCTTCAGCCTGTGTACTTTCATCCCTATCAGTGATAGGAAAACTCTGAGTGCTGCCAGCTACTGCTGGGCTTTGGCAAGCTGAGGATGAATGTGGTTTTAAGCATGTGTTTACAATTAAATTACTGGCCAGTGAGATGGAGCAGCTAGGTAAAGGTACCTGCTGCCAAGCCTGATATCTTGAGTTCAATCCCCCGCACTGACATGGTGGAAGGAGAGATGACTCCAGCAGGTTATTTTCTGATTTCCATATTCAAGCCAAGGTTCTCTCTCGCTCTCTCTCTCTCTCTCTCTTTCTCTCTCTCCCTCTCTCTCTCTCTCTCTCACACACACACAAATAAATGTAATGAATAATTTTTAAATTTTATTTACAAGTTGGGTATAGCATTACACACCTACAATCCCAGTATTTGGGTAGTAGAGGCAGGAGGATCAGGAGTTGAAGTAATCAGACTAGATGATATGAGACTTTGTCTCAAAAAACAAAACAAAACAAAATAAGGGGCTTGAAAAATGTCTCAGCAGTTAAAAACACTGGCTGCTCTTCCAGAAGACAAGGGGTTTGATTCCCAGCACCCATATGGCAGCTCCCAACTCCAGTCCCAGGAGATACCATGCCCTCTTTTGGCACTCCACAGGCACTGTATGCATGTACAGGCAAAACACCAGTACATATATCATACATATATATAAATATATATGTATATATTGTTTGTTTTTTCAAGATAGGGTTTCTCTGTGTAGCTCTGACCAGCCTGGAGCTTGCTCTATAGACTAGGCTGGCCTCAAACTCAAGAGATCCACCTGCCTGTGCCTTCCCAGTGTCGGGATTAAAGGCCATCACCATCCAACCAAAATAATTTTTAATGAAAAAAAAAACATTTAAAAAATTAACCGTATGAACATAAATAAATAATTGTACCAAATAAGAATTAAACATTGATAAATCTTAAAAAGCTTGGGAAGCAACAGCAACAACACTAAAGTAACATATTCTCAAAGACTGTTTCTGGTGACTTACAGTTCTGTCTGGTCTAGAGACAGGTCTGCCACATTTCCGGTGAAAACCTCAAAAGTGCTGCTTGGTCTTGTGCGGTCCCATGCAACCTTTGAGATCCATCGTGTGAGTTTACTAGAAGGAAACCAATAGACACCATAAACCACAAGCTTATTCTGTTGTTTTTTTTTTTTTTTTTTGGGGGGGGGGTGATAAAGCTGCCATTAACTTACCCATGTTCCTATAAATAGCGCCCAAGAAACTCCCAGGCTCACTGAGATAGGCTTGGGTAGAATGGTTTTTTTGTGTTTGTTTGTTTGTTTGTTTTTTACTTTGTCACCTGTGTCTTACCTTGGCAAACAGACATTTGTTCGTTCACATGTCGGATTCCTAAAGTCATGACAGATTCCTAAAGAACTGGCAAGGGTCTTCTCTAGTGTGTCTGTGACATGTTTCCAAGAAAAATGGAAGGAAGGAAGGTGTGTTCCAGACTGAGGTTCACCATCAACAGGCTGGCCATCGTGATGGAACAGGAATCAGGAAGAAGGACCTTTCCTTAGCAGCTCCATTCTCTGCTGCTGTCACGGGGACATCACACTTCCCATTCTTGAGCCTTCGAGTGTAAGCTTGAACCATCAGACCCCTGGGGGACTTTGGGGCCTCCAGGCATGGGCAGGATCATCACATCTTGTGCAGCCTCGAGTCTTGCTTGCTCCTACACAGCTGCTGGCTTCCCTGCCTCTGAACACAGCTTCTTTGGAACTTTCCAGTCTCTGGTGTGAGCCGATCTGATAATTTCCCTCCATTGACATGCATTCTATTGGCCTGATTCCCTAAAGGAGCCTGACTAATATATTTTGATTGAGTAATTTGGGAGATGGAGGCAGAAAGATCCAGAGTTCAAGACCAGCTTCGGATCATATAGAGAGTTTGAGGGCAGCCTGGGCTACATAAGACCCTGTATTGATAACCAACTAAACAAAGAAAAACAAAAAATTATGAAACACAAATGCATATACACACTCAGACACACAAATACTCTATAGTCCACTCCAATTCTACCCCAACCTCTGTCTAGTTCCAACCTTGCTGACTAGACTGAGAGTGAAACCTCTGGGTCACTGAGCTGAGAACCTCAGCCTGTGGGGCTCTGCAAGACTATTGCAGGTACTTGCCACGGGGGCAGAAGCCAAGTAGCCTATCTTGACAGCCTGCTGAGGTAATTTGGCCATGGCCTTAGCTTTGGCTTGGTCTCAGTTGCAGGAAGTACCATTTGATGTCAGCTTCCATCTAGCCTGTTGTCCCTGGCCATATTCGGTCTTTGTGTTCTCCTTGACATTTAGACTTCTCTTGGGTCTTGATCATCAGTGGCCCTGCACTCTGTCTTCTTCCTGTCTCAGTCATGACTGTGACCATACTTGTATGGCTCTGCCTTTGGCCTTGGCCTTCATCTTGGACATCTGATTAAATCTAAATGTGAGTGTTAGTGTATTTCCTGGAACCAGTAGAATACACAGCTCCCTGTGGATGACTGTCCTGTCATCAGACTACATTTTCAGCTGCTCCCATTTACTAAATCTTCAAGAGTGACACCCTGGGGAGGAGGCTGGGGTACTCCCATAGGTTCTGCTCAGAGGGTGTGTTGGTTTACTTTCCTACTGTTATGATAAGACACCATCACCAAGGCAACTTATAGAAGAGACGGTTCATCGGGCTTATAGTGCCAAAGGGGTGAGTCCAAGAACATCATGACGGGGAGCGTGACAGCTGGCAGCACGAGTGTCTCAGTATCTCAGCATCAGGAGCTGAGATCTTTCATCTGATCCACAAGCACGAGGCAGAGAGCGCTAGCTGGGAATAGCGTGGGCTTTTGAAACCTCAAGGCTTCAGCAGTTTCACCAACAGGGGAGCGAGTATTCAAATATATGAACCTATGGGGGGACATTCTCATTTAAACCATCACATAGGGAGCTGCCCTGACAGAGAAACTGTAAGTGACTAGACGGGATGAGGTCCCCGGGCTCAACACCCCTCTCCAAAGCTAAGGGATAAGCCTATTATCTGCTTTGCAAACACCTCCCTCCCCCAACACACATACACACCACATACATACCTGTGAGATCTGGGCAGGGCTGGGAATCTGGGAATCTGGGAATCTGGGAATCTGAGCCAGGAGACCAAGCTCCACTGGTTCTCAGCTTATCGCCAGAGGTTAGGCATAGTGCTACTTTAGGAAGGGGACCACTGCTATGCCAGAGTAAAGGCTGGGGAAGGCTTCAAGGAGCATCCCTCAAGATACGGTCTCCACAGATGCCGCCGACATCTGTCCCATTAAATGCTGGAGCAAGCTCGGGAGCCTGAGGCCTTTCTACAGAGCTGCTCTGGATCCCCACAGGCTTCCAGAGAAGAACGCTTAGGTTGAAAGCAGCCGGTCCTTCAGGACCCTCCCTGCCCACCAGAAAGCAGGAGAGTGGTGTGAAGATGACACTCTGAGGAGCAAAGGAAGCACTTCACGCTGTATGCTGTTGTTTTTCTCTGACTCCTGACCTGCATGTGTTTCAGGCCACCTGCGCACAGAATCAGAGCCATGGGCACCACAGAAAGGCAGAGGCTGAGGAAACGGTAGGGGAGGAATGAGGGAGAGATGGGTATGCTGAGCACCCTATCTTGAATCTGGCTTTCTCATTACCTGCACCTGACCTGCACCCAACAAGCTGAGCTGAATGAACACAGCTCCCCAGCTCCAGCTCCTTCTACTTGCCTCATTTACTTTCAAGCTGTCTGTACTGTTGTCAGGTTCCAGTAACTGTTACTCTACCCTAGACCCTGGGAAAAACTCACTCCTCCCCAGCCTGGCCCCACTCTTCCTCCATTGCTTCCTCCTCTTTCTATGTCTCTATTTTCATCCATCTCTCTGATATCTGTCTCCCTCCCTATTTCTGTGTCTCTGTCTCTCCCCCTCCATATGGGCACATCCAAGCCTTCACAAGAACCCACTGGCCTCCTCCACCAAGCCTGATCCTTCCGACCCTGCACTGACCTCGTAGTATTTCCAACATTTACACCCTCCGAACAGGCCAAACAAACCCTCCACAGGTTACAGAGAGAGCTTTAGAGTCTGAGACCAGAGCACTGAGCAGGCGTTGGAGAATCTAGCAAAGGCCAGACAGAGCAACACAACCTAGGGTGAGCCCATAGAATTGCCACAAAGAGCTGCCCAAATGGCCACCTGTCAAGGAAGCCACAAGCAAACACTGTCCTGGAGAGTAACCCAGCAGGGTCAGAGAGAAAACACTGGGACAAGGTAGCCTCAAACAGGTGAGGCCGCAGGGTAGGGCTGTTAGGAAACGTGCGAATGTGAAGGTTACACGCGGGTTCACAAATCATGCCACGAGATCGGTTCCACGTGGGAGGTTTATTAGGGGAAAGGAGGAGAAGGGAGCAGAGACAGAGAAAAGAAGAAGGGAGAGAGAGCAGAACAGAGGAAGAGGAAGAAAAGAGAGAATCAGGGAGCAGAAGAGGAAGAAGAGAGAGAGGGGGAGAGAGGAGATGAGAGAGAGAGAATCAGGGAGCAGAAGAGGAAGAAGAGAGAGGGGGAGAGAGGAGGAGAGGGAGAGAGAGAGAGAGAGAGAGAGAGAGAGAGAGAGAGAATCAGGGAGCAGAAGAGGAAGAAGAGGGGGGGGAGGGTTCCAGTTCTCTCATAGGGTGATCAAGGGCATGAGCAGGTAATTCCAGGTGGTCAGGGTGTCTTTACAAATGCCTGATAACCGGTCTATCAGGTCCCTTGGAGCTGGCCATAGAAGTGCCTGCTTACTGATCCCAACAAGGGCTCCAGCTGTATTTCCTGTGGAGGCAAATAGCATCTACTCTGGACAGTGTGGCTTTCTCAGGTTTTCCAGAAACTTCTGCTGTTTGGGGTCTCCACTGTTCCCTGGTGTTTAAGGACAATGTCTAGAGCCTAACTAGGTCACTCCATCCCGCCTCTCCATGCCCTCAGGAAAAACAAAAAACAAACATTAATGGCAGGAAAGTGCCTGAGACACCCCAGACACATGGTGGATGGCAGAGGAGGGCTGTATGTGGATATCCATGTATATCCGTCTGTTCTCTAGGTTTCTAGATAATGCTCTTCCCAGCCTGCCCTCTGTGGCTGCGGTACAGGGGCGGTGCATACACCTGACCCACGGGGAGGTGGATCTAGACACCGCTGCTGCCTGAAACCAGTGAGTAGGACACAAGCTAAAGTCACCTGAGCGGAGGGAACCTCAATTGAGATAATGCCTCTGTAAGATCAAGCTTAAGCAAGCCTGTAAGGTGTTGGTTTAATAGGTGATTGATGCCGGAGGAGGGGAGGACAGGGGAGATTGGCAGTGTGCAGGGTACAGCCCTCAGTCAGGCTTTGGGAACAGAATTCGAGCCTGAACGCAGCAGTGACTCTACAAAAGCATGCAGGAGCGGCCTCACTGGGGGCGCAGAGCTTGCCTCACCTTTTTACTATTTCTGCTTACAATATAATGAGTGCATGAGGGCATGTGGCAAGGATAGGCCCTGCAAGGAGCAGGATACCATTCCAGACCACCCTGAGAGTAGGTCTTCTAGGACCCAGAAGGAGGCAGTGGCCACAGTTCCTGCAGAAGTGCTAGAGACAGCAGCTCAGGGACTACCCCGGGGAGTCAAGGGCACAGGGCTGCTATTCTGTCTGGGGGGTCTAGACACACCTGCCTCTGTTTCCGGGCCCTAGCTCTGGGCCTGCGGTGCTGTCTGTCAAAGAGAGAAGAGTGCAGTGCCCACCAGAATAGAGCCTTTGGTTTGAAGATGATACGAGAATGGACTGGACCCAAAGCAGTGAAGCATCCACCCCACCATCCCAGGTAGGGGGATGAGGGTATATGAAAGAATCAGGCGGGACAGTAGGTTCAGGAGCTCTGCCGTGAGGCACCCCAAGCTATGGGAGAGCATAGTTGACAGGGCTGCCTCCATCTCTCTGGGAGCCTTGAAAGAGAGCCTTGAATAGAGTCTTCACAGGCAGTGGTTGTGTATATGGAAGGCAGCAGGAGGGCTGAGGAGGTGGCAACGAAGGAGCTTCATCTTCCATAGGGAATGAAGGCTGCTCCCTTTCCGGTGAAACCTTCTCA